GAGTTTTTTTAAATAGTTTTCCATATGAGTTCAAACTATTATATAATTATATAGACATGTACACATTCAGCAGCAGTACTTTCTAAGCCAGAAACAAGAAGGGTTTAGGGTTTGGGGTTTGGTTCCTAAGTAGCACACGACGCTGCAAAGTGGTCGTGGTAACTTTTACGACGTCTTTACAACGTTGCGACGACGCAAAATATTTGCTGTTGCATCTTGGTAATTTGTCGACGTCGCTGAAAGGTCATGATATGACCGCTTTTAGACGTGGTCATTTTAGCAATTTTTTTCATAATTCATCAGCGTTATTTTTAGAATGAAAAGAGGCTAAATCTGCCCTTTCAAGAATCTGAAGTCCGCATAAGATTTTATTTTGCCATGTTTCATTACTTTATTTCATCTAAATATATTAATCTAAGGTAGATTCATCTAATGAAGTGTATATTTAATATAAAAACTTTTGATTCATTAAGTTTAATTAGTACTAAAAATACGTGCTAAATTATTGTTTAAAATTTTGTTAAAATATTTAATACTTAAAATATTTTTTTAAAATATTATAGCAAAATATTTAAAAATGAAACTAATCTATAAAGTAAGTTATTAAGTTATGCATTTTATATATTTAAAAAAATCGTATTTCCGAAATCAATCCAAATCACATGTTAGCAATTATTTCACTGCTGAAATATGACTTTATAATTTTTGAAATAAGGACGAATTTATTTGAATTAATATGCTGATATTATATGAAACATTTTACCGCATACAGAGCAAAAACTACAATTTTCGCGAAGATATGTCTAACCTCCTTGGGGTAAAGGGTATGGAGGGGAGTTGAAGATACCTGATTCGCCAATAGTAGCCTCGTGAGTGGTCACCCGCTGCTGCTTGAAAATGAAGTAGAACAAAACAGAGAAGGAACAAAACAAATATCACTGTGGGTTGGAAAAGGAGAATATTAGATGTTATGAGTCAAGAGTTGGGTAGCATAAGGCTGGAGATTGAAGTCTATTTCGAGAAGTTCATATTTAAAGTTGTCTACGTAGGTAACCGTATCCGTATGTACAGCTTTGGCGAAAAAGTTATTATTGAGTTTACTGATGAAAGTTTTTATGCTGTAAGCAAATAACCACTATATGAGGTTTCACTTCACGTAACTTTTTTCAAATAAATTATTCATATTTCTATCTTGTACTCCCAAAATTAACACATTTAATGTTACATAAACTCTATTAATTATTCACAACTTTGTTTCAAAAGAAATTAATGAAAAAAAAACCATTCGAAATTTTCTTCATCCAATTAATAATAATGAACATTAAAATATGCATAACAATGTTGGATTATATATGGTTTAACAAAATATTTAATACAGCAATTTCATTTTAGCCTCATACGTGGATAGAAAAATGGATCCCCCCCCAAAAAAAAGCAATGTATGCAATGTAAGCTACCATATGATTATTTAAATTTTCATACAATACTTTAGTAACGCAAAAAAAACATTCCTTTGCTTTCATGTCTTGCGTAACTCAATAACTAATGCACGCATTAAATATTTTCAATGTTTACATGACTTAAAAAAAAAAAATTAGTTTTTGGTTCGGCGAAATATAATCAGCATATTTTTAAGACATAAAAAAATATTCCTTCTGCCCTACCACATCACATACGTATCAGTCGAAAAATTCAAAATTGAATCATGCAAGAACTTTTTTAGATTTAAGTATGGTAAGTTCAAATTTATTAGTACATAATATTCAAGTGATGAAACACCTACATCAACAAAGCTTAAAAAAATATTTCTAAATTATAATCCAAAACAAGTTTTCAAAAATATAGTTTCAACAGAATACAAAAAATATATTTGTGCATCTGCTGTAAACACATTGATCCAAATTATCAAGTCTGAAATTATGACTTTTCAGTCTTTAAGCACATTGCTCCTTTAGAAGGATTGAAAATCAAGTTCACGCATCTGTTTTTTCTTTATCACTGAACTCCATTACAGAAATATTCAACTGTCAGCAAAATTCACTCAAACATTAGATTCGATTACACGTGCATGGCTGTACTGGCATTTCCTATAATTTCAGATTATTTCATATTAACAAATGATTATAAACATCTAAAACAGTAAAACGTATCAAAAACATTAGTTATTGCATTACTGTAGCGCACCCTCCTTCAAGACCATTGCATAAACATCGCAAAGCATTGCTAGCAAGAACGACCCCTTGTTTATTGTTTGGCAACTTCCATTTCTGAAAGAAGGAAGTAGGAAAATTTGTTTCCCTTACTTCAGCTTTAACATGGAGAAAAATGGTTGTACTTTCAGAAAATAGTGAATGAAAGTAGTCGTGTTAAAGAGATGATATTCAATATCAGTGTTTATTTTTACTCTCAGAAATGCTGACATATGCGTATATAAGTATGCGTGCGCGTGTGTATGTGTATTCAGAGAACCAACTCGTGGCAACCACCTCCCTAAGATAACCACCTCTAAAAGAAACCACTATTTCTGAGAACATAAGAATATGCTGGTATTAAACATGCTTTCTCTAAGGCAACCACCAGCAAAGAAAATTCTTGAAGTGTGGCTGGTCGCCATAGAGAGACTCATTTCGTGGAGGCAACCTCTCTAAAACGACTACTTCTAAAAGATAAAGATATATGTGAGAATATAAGTATAATACTGGTGCTGAACGTCACCCGCAAAGAAAAATTTTTTGGCACATATGGCCCCCCTGAGCCCTGAGGTTTTCGCACGCCGTTAATAAAGATGGATGTGTGGCGCCTACTCAAATTTTACGGAGTTATTATTGGCTGGAATAAGCTCATGTCAGACAACGATTCACCAATTAGTTTGAAATGAGGCGTGATTGCGTCGGTTGTTTCTGTATAATTTATAATTGGGGGATAAGTTAAAAAGAGAGAGATTTGGTTGAAAGGGGCAGAGTTGTTTTTCTTTCAGCTACCTGTTTTGAGTGGGATGGTCGGAGTTTTCGCCAGCGACTTGTTTTGAGCTGGGGAGTCAGTGAGTTTCCTGCAGCTACTTATTTTGAGTTGCAGGCTCCGAGTTTTTTTCTTCGACTACTGACTTTGAGTTGGATGCGGAGATAGCGAAAATGAAGAAAAGTAATAAAAAAAAAAAAAAAAAAAAAGTGGATTTGGCTGAAGGAGAGAGTTTTCTCACTAGTTTTGCTGGATTTCCCTTACCGTGGTACAGACTTGAGGTAGTTGAAAAATTAAGCGAAAAGCCGGAGAAAAGCAGGCTTATCCCGAGATGGAGGAAGAATTTTATTGGCTATATCTAGGAATAAACGGCGTAATAACTAAGAAGAGAAAGCAGTTTCGAGCGTATGTGAGATAAAAGAAAACTTGCGAAGCAGCTCGACCTCAAGGAAGATGACCAGCGGCATGAAATGAAGAAGTGTGTAATGTAAGAGAAACACAGAAACTCATAAAACACCTCAGAAGAAGATGCGACAAGCTGTGCGATGTTTTCGGAGGTGTCCCAGTTGCAGAAGCCTAAAGAGACAATCCGAATAAATATCGGTTCCTGTTTTCCGACGTACCATAAATAGACGGTTCCTAGCTAATATTCAGCGTAAGAGAGAAAAACGGCTTTCCTTTACGAACAATATCAAACTGTGTTACGTATTATAAGTGACTGTGTTAAGGACAGATGTCAGTGTTGATCGTACTGTATCGCTAAATTTGTTTAGTTTCTTGACTGTGAGGAACCCTGAAGTCGGCAGTCGTAAGTACCCTTCATCTTCTCTTTGTTGTAGAGTGACTATGCAAATCTGAATTTTATTCAAATGGTAAATATTTATTCTGGAATTTAGGATAAAGCTTTTATGTGCATGTGTATTGTGACTTTAATGTGTTATTGGGAAACTTGAAAATGCATTTTAAAAACACACAAAAAAATTAATAATTTTATAGCTAGGATAAGTGTTTATTTATTATAGGAATATGTTTTTTGTCCATGACAGATTCACTTAATGAATTGTAAATATCATTATACAGATCGAACTCGGGTTTTTATCATAATCACTGTTATATTTGTACTAAATTGTCAAAATGTTTATTAGGCAGCAAGAATAAAAATCTGTAGTTTCTCAAAATTTGGTATGTGATTATTTCGCACTAAGTGCTCCATAACACAACGAAGAATGGAAAAAAAACCTAAACAAAGGGAAAAAAAAACCCACTGAAAAACGTATCGTACTACATAACTTTAAAACTTTAATGAGCACGAGACCTGCGATAACACACACTAATTAGAATAGTAAAATTGCTTAGAAGCGGACTAGATGCAAATTTAATGTAGAAGACTAAATGGAAGAAAAATTCATAGCACCATAGGAGAAATGTGGATTTAAAAAAAAAAAACTAATTTAAATACATTTATGAGCATTGATAGCCAAGATCCTCCGCCTAACAGCCATGATCTGGTAAACATCCTAAGGCTCGTTCTCAGCTATCGCAAATCCTCGGTTAAGGAAGTTTTTGTTGCTTTTGATCTTGAGCATTAGCAGAAAATCTTCCAGAAGAACGGTGGTGGCAAAAATTTCAATATATATCAATGAATTTTTATTTCGTTAATTAGTTTGAGGCAGTTTACAAGAACATTACAGAAAAATTGTCCTAACACAAAAACGCATATACTACACATACATCAACACAAACACAATTTCTATTTCCGAGGGCAACAAGTATCCCTTTTACTTTGATATTATAGAACGACCATGCTTTTGATATTATAGTTGCCATAACAAAGAGTTAGTATTAAAACCTGTTGATGTTAAACAGGTTGATGTTACATATAATTTTAATCAGAGATGTTAAACATCTCTGATTAAAAATATATGTAAAATATACGTAAAAATAATGTTTCGTAACTACTTCTGTATTTCTAATGTTTCAAAAATGCACAAACGTAAATATAAAAAAACAAAAATAAATAAAAGACTAGGAAAACGCATTAATCTAAGATTTCACAGCTATTTTATTTAACAAATTTACAAACTATTTTTGACGTGTAATAAAACAGCTTATTTATCCAGTTGTTATTTTAAGCACACACCTTATTATGAACAATGATTTTCCAGCTTCACCTTAGACAATAGAATTCTTCACTTGCAAAATTCAACAGAACTTCATGAAAACATTGTAAAGGCAAATAGTTTTAGTTCTGTCTGCATTTCCCTGGACTGGAGCAAAAGTTGATCCAAAACGAGACTGAATTTGCCAAAACAAAATTTTTTCGTTATTGCATTAATCACTTTCCTGCAAACGGCTTTGTTATCATAAAAAGGGCATATGGTGCATGATTGTTTCTGCCTTTTGTTTGCTTAGACAAATTTCATAAATTAGTAAAAAAAAGATAATTCCCCAAATTTGAACAAAACATCTTAACTGTTCAGGCGAAGAGAATATGTCACCGACCATCTCCCTTTATATAACGTAAAATCACTTCGATTAAATGATGCTGCAGAATATACCAGAGTATTCACATAATATTCTATCAGTTAAATTATCAATATGATTTCATTCCATACTCAGATTGCAAACAAGATGTTAACAAATGGAGATTATTACTTGGGAATTATTTGATTTCGACATTTAGATGAAAAATAGGAAAATTTCAAAAGAATTTGAAGAGAGTGTTGTCAAAAAGAACAGCAGTTTGAGTCTCCGAGGATAAGAGTGTGTTCGGTTTTCTTTCATCATACAAATACCGCATTTATCAGTTTGATGTTCCAACTGTTAAAAAATTTCTTTCACTTCCGAAGCACTTCAAGTTCAGTGCTGTCTGCTCCTTCATTTTTCCCATTAGCGGCTTTTGTACTTTTTGGACGACGTTGGGAATAATTTATTCCATAGAATAGAGTAAAAACGGCAACTGTTGCCATCCATATTCCAATAAGTCCCACCTATTAAAAAATGCAGAAACAGTAGTTGTAACGCTTATATAATGTGAAAAACCATTTAAATTATATTCATCGTGTTCTACAGTATTTTTTAACTGCACAAATCATGTTTACCTAGATTATATTAGAATATTCATTATATAAATTAGTTCTTGATACAATAAATGCAGCAGGAAATGATTTAAAATAAAGATAAAAATCTTTAAAATATTCTCAGAGACAGAAATGCCAATTTAGCAGACTAAACAATCGGATTCACATTCCCATCCCCTTGAAGAAAATGGGAAAACGTTTTCAATGACAAAAGTATTTTTTAAATGAAAATATCATACGTAAGGAAATGGTGTTGCTGAATAATGAAATAACTTTATACAATATCTAATTAACACCTGAAAATCCAGTCGCTCATTTCGAAATGCAAATAGTACAAAAGTACTTACACGCGGAGAAGAAAACTTTTATGATTTTTTATCTTTTAATAAAAATATAATGTTTTAATCAGTAGAGTTCTGCTAAGTCTAGAACCTTGTCTCATTGTTCTACAAACTCTAATAGACTGTAAAGCGCGTTGTCGCTTAGTCTGAAGCAAATGAACAAGCCGTAAGAAGGTTAAAATAACTTTTGCATGTGACTCTTAACCGCACAGAAGGTAGTACGGGTGCTGCAGGCAAACCTCCGTTACTTGCGGGTATTTGATATAAGATGGAATTAATTTCAATGGAGGTAGCGCAGTCCGAGACTACACGCAAAATAGACTACTACAGTTAGCTCATGGTCATTATCGAGACAGATTTTAAACGTCATCTAGCCAGATGCTAAAGCCGTAATAACTTTGGCAGAGCTAGCGATAGAACGTAATTGACAAGGCGAGACGGCCAGAACCTCTATCCTAAAACATTCAAATCCTTGGCTTAAATTCACAACAACAATGTTGCATTCTGAACTACTGAAAGAAAAAAACTTTTTTTTTTTTTTTTCAATGGCAGATTGTGAACAATTACAAATGTAACCCAGTCCATTAATCTATACAAAGCCGGATGTGGTGGTCTCTTTATTATGGAGGCACATAATAGGTGAGCCACCATCGCCTTTCCTATGAAGGGGACGGACAGTTACAACCATGCCTTCTACGGGATTCGATCCCAGGCCCTTCGACATCGCAGTCAGTTTCCCTGACCACTATACCGAATGAGCGGCACTGAAAGAAGTTAAAGTTCAAATCATAATTGCATTCTGTTGAAGACTACTGAAAGAAGAAGTTAAAGTTCAAATCATAATAACTGATTAATTAACATAAAATTCTACAAATCAATTTCTTTACTATTGGCGAACAGCATTCGTTGAATTTGCTTTCATTCATAGCAACTGTCATAAAGCCTGTGTTTGCTAAAACTCTTTTTGCCAATGTGTCATCACTAATACTAGATCTAAATTTATTTCTTGTTTTAGCAGCAACACTGAAAATCCTTTCGTTCTCTGTATTGCTACTGTTAGGATGTCATCATTATTTTAGACGGTTTGCAGGGTTTTTATGCTTACTAACCAGGTACCTCACCGTTCTATTTTTACTGTCACATCTACTAAGACGCCAATTAGTCAGTTTTGAAGCACAGAGTTCTTTAGTTCCAGACAGAGCTTGTGGCAGTAATCGCTGACCGTTTTACTACATTCTTCCAGCGCCTGATTTATTTAACTTGGCTTTTAGTCTTGCTAGCTGTAAATGCTCGCGTAAACTAAGGACCTGGGAGAAAGCTTGTAAAAGCTCTTCGCCTTATAAATCTCTTATTTTAATACTTAAATTTTATTCTAGCTTTGTTTCTATTGTTTCCGCAACTGTAGAGAATGTTTCTTTCACTATACAGATTGCGTAAATGTTAATCTGACAAGCTAATAAACGGGCTTAATTTAAACATTCTTTGGAGTTACTTTACTTAGAGAATAAGACAAGCGATAAGTTTCTGGCTGTCTTCACGGATCCAGAGACTAACATTTAGAGCTGTTAAAATCTGTAGAAGCTCCAACTACATTAAGATTTCAAGAGCACTCATGGGTTTTCAGTGAAACTCCAATAAGCGGAAATTCCTGATGGTTTCGAAATTTTATCTAAATTTTTTGTTGCTAACTGCAAACTTGTGACTGAAGCTAATCAGTTGCAACAATAATTGAATTTCGGAAATGGCTGAATTTCGAAACCGGAAATGTATTTGCATTTGCTTGAGCATAAACATCTGCCAAATTTAGCCCCTGAAATCACTGCCTGTTGACTTAATATTAGTATGTAATCATATATATAGCAGAAAAAACTTCTAACAGGAAGTAAATAAACCTGTGCAAGTTGCGTCACTATTTTCCTTACCCTCGTCGCTCTCTCTGTATTAAGCGGGAAGAGCGAGCTGACATCTTAAGCTCTGCTGTGCCACAAGGCCCTGGCCCATAAAAGATGACAGCAGACTTTTGCATCTTTCAGACACACCACGAAGGGTATTGCGTGGAGCCTATGAATCTGGGAAATGACTGGCGTGACGTTAAACTGCACCTGCTAATACAACGCTTTGATACTGACTGCTCTGTGGGCCAGATGTTCATATGGAAGTACAGGGTTTAACTCTCTCCCACAGTTTACTGGATACTTTGATACCTATCTTTATGTTGATGTCGACGCACATTTACCATGCTGTTACCATCATTTCAAATAACCCCAATTAGGAAAAAACATACGTACCTTAACTCAGGGAGTAACAAATTAAGGTGAATTGCAAGTAATAAAAAGTTTCTCAGAGACGTGCCTGTAAATTACTGGAGCCCCAGGTTCGTGTGTTTGTACGAACAAGTTACAATGCCTGTGAAAATTAACTATACCAGTGCACTTTTATATTCCTTAAAGATAACAATTCCTACCATAATAACCTGAGTCTTACAGTAATATTTAATCACAGTTTTATAGATTAAAAAATGACAAATATAATAAATTATTTTTAAATAAAAGACATGAAATATAGCGTTGAAATAATACAAATAATTGTAGAGACATAAGGATTTTTTTTGGAAGCAGGTAACATGAAAAATTAGCAACGCCTTCGACGGGAATCGAACCACGGACCTCTGGAATACCGGCCCAGCGTGCAGAACCACTACACCACGAAGGCAAGCTAGTAAAGTGAGAGAAATACCTTATATACTCCCCTTTTTAAAGGAAGACTGGATTTTTATGGGACCCAATTGCCAAATCCTGGGTGTGGCGGATCCTCATCCAACTCCCTTTTAGTTCGGGCGCCACTAAAATAATTGCCATTAGGTAGTTTTGGAAGCAGGCAAGATGAAAAATTAGCAACGCCTTCGCCGGGAATCGAACCACGGACCTCTGGAATGCCGGCCCAGTGTGCAAAAGCACTACACCGCGAAGGCACGCTAGGAAAGTGGGAGAAATACCTTATATAGTAAGACACTCTATAACAAAAAATCGACGCACCAAGAAGATCATCCGATTGCTTTGAAATTTCGTATGCATAAATGTTTTGACCAAATTATGCGAATGATTAAAATTTGGTGTCTAATAAATGAATAGTGCGATCTCCAGTGCATCCGAACTGCGCATCCAGCAGATGTATATAAGGTGCTGTTCTTGAACTATTGTTAAATATTTCTGTTGCATTGTGATTTAGGATACCTTTCAACGACTGAAAAAATGCCTCGCCGCAGGATTCGAGCTCAGTACGAGCAACTCTCAGAGTTTGAAAGAGGTAGTATCATTGGACTGAAAGAGGCAGGTTGGGCAAATCGGAGAATCACTCGTCATATGTCAAAGCGGCGATTAGAAATACAAGCAAGAATGGGTGGACAATGGCAGATTTCAGCGTCATGAAGGCAGCGGTTGACCTAGGGCCACAATAGATCGAGAGAACAGAGTGATTGTCAGATCAGCTGTCACAGCGCTTAATTAATCCTTATCAACCATCAGATGTGCGACCCGCACACGAGCGTCCAGCATGATCTTTCACAGACGGCTGATAGAGCGAAATCTATGCTCGTACCGACCGTTACGCCACCTGCCTCTTAGCCCGCACACTGTACAGCCAGATTATGGTGGTGCTTGGCTCGATCAGGTTGAAATGATGCTGACTAGGGACGTATTGTCTTTAGCGACGAATCCCGCGTCCAACTGTGTCATAACGATTATCGAAGACGTGTCTGGAGACGCCCAGAGCAGCGTGCCGATCCTGCTTTCACTATTGTACGCCACACAGACCCTCAACTAGGAGTTATGGTCTGGGGGCCACTTTTCTTGATAGCTGGACCCATTTGGTCGTCATTAGAGGCACACTTACAGCACAGCGGTTCGTCGGCGACATTCTGAGACCTGTTTTGCTACCGTTCCTTTTGCAGTACCCTGGCCTTATTTTTCAGCAAGATAATGCCAGACCACATACGGCATGCGTTGCTATGAACTGTCTCACAGCTTGTCAAACACTTCCTTGGTCAGCCAGATTGCCATATCTCTCTCCCATCGAGCATGCCTGGAATATGATGGGAAGGCGACTGCATCTTTCAGGTACTGTTGATGTCCTAGCCTGACAACTAGACCAAATTTGACAAGAAATACCGCAGTAGATTATCCGGGAAATTTATCAGTCTATGCCACGCCGTGTGGCAGCTTACATTCAGGCTAGAGTCACACCTTATTGAGCTCGTTACTTTGTAACTATGTAACTCTGAAATAAATCATTCAGTTGTTTTGAAATTTTAATCATTTTCCATTCTGTATATAATCTTCCTACCCACCAATTTTTGTCTCCATTGGACAACTCCTTCATGGTGCGTCGATTTTTTTTGTTATAGAGTCTATAATTAATATAAAAAATGCACAAATTTTTCAAGCATTTTTAATAACCTAGACATTTTTACTTTTAAAGGAAGTAAAAATTATCAGTAATATTTTCAAAATCTACTTAATCACTTAACTCATATTTTACAGGGACGGCTGTCACATTTGAAAGCTTTTCTTGATCATGTGAAGATCTTGTATATATTTTTATTATTATTCTAAGCTTGCTGAAGCTTCCTTTAGCCACTAGCAATAATAATTGGGAACGTTTAATATGTTCTTAAACACTGCTTCCAAATTTCGATGCGACTGAACTAAACTAAATTCGTGACCTGCTTTTAAAAGATCTAAGCTAGTAGATGCTCTAGTGCCCGAAAATATGGAAATAACATAATTTTTTAATTTTAGATATTTGTAGCTGAAATCCTGTGTCATTTATATCGTCCGGATATTTAAGTGCTTAATTATAAGCTGTTGCTTACAAATTACTTAAATCTAACGACATTAATTTTCACTAGTTAGAAACTGAAAATTTTTCGTATCTCCATTTCAATTGCGAAATTTTTCTTTAATTTCTTATGTTGTGAAAGAAATATTTGTGTGAAAAGATTTGTTTTCTTAACAACTGATTTTGTCCATTAACTTATTAACCTTTCTTTACGGTTTCTGTATAAATTCTGTTGATACAGTTACATCTGAAACTAACTTTTTACATTTCTTGAGAATACTTCTCAAAATATTTTTCTCATCTGCTGTAAAAAAAAAAAAAAAAAAAAAAAAAAAAAAAAAAGACATAATGCCTCTATTAAGCGTGCAGAATTGTAAACAGTTATAGTTTTGATTACAAGGATTAATTATGTTTCTTGCCATATTAAATTCCATGCGGATAATATACAGCAAGATTTTTAGACTATATGTCTAAAAGCGCTGTTATTTTCGTCCCACTACAAAGACTTATCATTTGATGCCGAATGTTTTAATAACCGGCGGTCTTCCGTTATTTGTAGATATAATGATTTAATAGCGTTGATTCTTGATATCCATTGCATATACGTGTTATTTAGCTTGAAAATGAGAATATTGTTATAAAAGATACGAATAATAGTTCAATTTAACAGTGGCCAAATGTCAAAAACATTGGTGCATATATCTGCAAAATACTTTTTATTGCGTTTGTCCTAGAACGGAAAAATATCTCTTTAATACAAGCTATGGCTTCAACATAAGAAATCTGCAATAAGTTTCTGCCACAGTTACTTTATTAACGCACCAAATCCAAGCCAAATCTTAAATTACACTAAGAATCCTATGTAGATCTAAATTCTGTTGTAAACAGAAAATGGTTTCCACGATGAAATTATTTGATTCGATTGAATTCCGATTCGAATTTTGCTAAGTGCAATGAATTTTATAGCTTATTCCTTTTAGTTTTCTTCTCCTTTAACACATATCAATAAATAATGACTTCCAGTATGTTAAATAAAATCTGCAACTTTCATTCTTAATTGATATTCTTAATTTGTGAATTTTTTTTCTAGCAGCTACTAAATAATAATTCCGTGCTATAGTTGTTCCATTAATAATGGTATCCACAAGTGGCCGAGTATAACACTGGCAGCTTATCTTATGGTTTATGAGGAACAGGCTGCTCGAGTAGAGTTTTCAGCCTTTCGCATGAGTAACGTGAAAGCGAAAAATTTCGTTAGAATATCCTCCAGGAAAACACCTCTCCTAAATCAGATGGCTTCATGTGCTTTACTATAATCTATTAACCAGTGGGCAAAATTTTCATATTGGCATATCTTTTATCAGGCAAGTGGATATTTATTGCAAGAAAGTTTATATGAGCTTGAGAAAAACGCCAAGCCAATTACTATATTTATATGCCAGCTAACTCTAATTTAAAAATGACAATAAATCGGCTGTCAGATATTACTGTTACATACTTTTCGTTCTCATTATATCCCTACAGTACAAATATGACTTTAAAATTAATAAGCATTAACAATTCTTTATCTCTACATTTATCCCGCGTCACCAGTTAGCCTAGTGAGCTTTAATGTGTTAAATTTTGCGAATAAGATAGGCATTTGAAACTAACGTCGTTATGATTTTTGTTAGCAGTAGGACCCACCCATAGGGGGGAAAGAGAAAAAAAATAAAATATCTTTACTAACCTGAGTCCAAAATGCCCAGTCGTGGGTATACCAAGTAGTCATGCGGACAATATGCAGAAGTCCATAAGCTGTTGTCAGTTGGGTAATAAGTTCTGCCATATTACCAGAAAGGTATGTCAGTGGAATAGTAAAGCACACAAGACCTAAGAAAATTAATTATTCATTTATTAAAAATTTTAATACATGCTTTAAAATATTTCATTTCGTCCCCTTTTTGAGAGCAATTTTTTAATTAAACACGCCTGTACAAAAATTTTAGCCAAAAACAATTGCTACTACATTTACCTAGGTAAGACGAAATACTTGTGTAAAGGAGTCTAATCATTGTTTCAGCTGAAAAGTTCCTTCTATATTACAAATGCATTAGATTATTTCTGAAATTTCAAAATCAAGGACCGATTTACAAACTGGAGATGTGAGACAAACTCTCTTATGGAGGCCTTTCTCTTTTTTTATTTCAACATAGTAGGTATTACTGTCCTAGAATGTCTTCCACGAAGGCATTCCTTCTCTTAGATAGATAGCGCTAGTATGCTTTTCATTAATTAAATAAACCAAACGAAACCAGAGCACGATATCGCTGATGCAAATTATATAGCGTATTTTATGTGTTAAAACTTTTAAGTTCTTTCTCGCCATTAGCAACGCAGCATTTATCTCTCTGAAATTTTGTGGCAACACTGCTCTTGAAATGTACGAATCGTCCAGGCAGCCATGAAGGAAGCTTGTCTATTTAGTTCGCGACACGAAATTATGTAACTGTAATTGTAAATAAGTTTGTGTATCAAAACTCGTGTTATGGAAATTACAGTGGTCTACTAATTCGATGGATACCGCGAAACATGGTCGACATCGAGCTGATGAAGCTGGAACTGTTTTAAAACAAAATTCTGAAAGCTGAAATGAATAGCGCAAAAATGGCTCCCGGAGAATTCTCGCAAGTAATTATCTTTAATCGAGAAAGAGGATATATCAGATCACAGATAGCGAAAATAAACTCAAGTAGCACACGACGTTGCAAAGTGGTCATGGCAACTTTTACGACGTCTTTACAACGTTGCGAAGATGCAAAATATTTGCCGCTGCATCTTGGCAATTTGTCGACGTCGCTGAAACGTCATGATATGACCGCTTTTAGACGTGGTCATTTTAGCACCTTTTTCATAGTTCATCAGATACCTCATGGATACCAGATAGATACCTGATGGACGATAATTATTATTACAAAGAAATTATTACAAAGTTATTTTTACAAAGAAAAGAGACTAAATCTGCCCTTTCAAGATTCTGAAGTCCGCATAAGATTTGTTTTGCAATGTTTCATTACTTTATTTCATCTTAATATATTAATCTAAAGTAGATTCATCTAATGAAATATAAATTTAATATAAATACTTGAATTATTAAATTTAATTAGTACTAAAAATAAGCGCTAAATTATTGTTTAAAATTTTGTTAAAATAATTAACACTTAAAATACTTTTTAATAAATATTATAGCAAAATATTTAAAAGTGAAACTAATCTATAAAGTAAGTTGCATTTTATGCTCTATAAGTAGTTATGCATTTTATATATTTTAAAAAATCATGTTTCCGAAATCAATGCAAATCACATGTTAACAATTATTTCACTGCTAAAATATGACTTTATTATTTTTGAAGTAAGGACGAATTTATTCGAATTAATATGCTGACATAATATGAAACAGTTTACTGCATAACAGAGCGAAAAGTACAATCTTCGCGAAGATGTATACACGGATAAAAATGGGGCGATTTTAAGAATTCCGAGAAAACGTCCAGTGTTAAAAGACGATGCATACCCATGCATTTTTAACATCTGTCCAGTATATATGAGGGAAAACTCACCGACAATCAAGAAAAACAGAAAGGAAAATTTAATGGAAAAGGAGAAAAAAAAAAAAATATTAACAATTTTAATGGAAAACGACAAAATTAATGGCTTGATAAATTACTAATAAATGTTGAAATCAAAATTAGAGAAACTGTGAACAAAAATACGAAATCCATTACCTATTAAAAATCTGATGAAGTGTTTGTTATGTTTTAACGTTTTTTCCGTGCATTCAAAAATGCTTGGTTTAATCCTAGTATTACGGTACACTCGGGATTTGGCGACACTGACATTACAAATGTTTCAGCGAACCCGATAAAATATATATATATAATATATATTTTGTAAATTTCTTAATGTAAAACGCAACGTATTAATTTTATTTAAAATGTATTTTCCCGATTGGCAACACAGTTTTTTTTCAGAACGATAATATTTTTGACTGTAAGTTTTTGAGCAGTAATGTTGACGTAATGTTTCTGAATAAGCAAGAATTTTAACAATTAATGTTTTGACGGAATGTGTTTTTAATAAAGGAACTAATTAATTGCTAACATAATGTAAACGCAACGCATTAATTTTATTTAAAATGTATTTTCCCGATTGGCAACAACAGTTTTTTTCAGAACGATAATTTTTTTGAACTGTAAGTTTTTGAGCAGTAATGTTGACGGTAATGTTTCTGAATAAAGCAAGTATTTAACAATTAAAGTTTGACTGAATGTGTTTTTAATAAAGGAACTAATTAATTGCTAACAGTGAACATTGTTCGTAATTCTATTCAGTTGAAATAATTCCTCTAGACCATTTAAAAAAGATTGTATTAAATTATCAGAAGTACTGTCGAAAGGTTTAATGCAATCGAATAAATCGCTGAAACGTTGTACTGAATTGCTGTTCGACATTCCATGTATATTATTTACTGGATGATTACATAAACGAACATTTGAGCTTGAGGCTTGCGCGCTTTGGCTAGCAGCCAAATTCGAACAAGTTAGTAACTGCGCAATAATTTGACTCCATCTTATTTTCAGGAATATTTTCTTCACGCTTTTGTAATTCACCGTCGAAGTTAAATACTAGAGAGCTTCAATACAGAAACAGAACGGCGTATAAAAATATAATGATGGCAGTTTATTTTAAACTGAGAAGAAATCATCGTGGTAATGCCCGATTTCTGCTTATTTTGTTTGTGAATATCTATTTGCAACGTGCTAAAATCGTCCATACAGTTAAATAGTGTTCTGTTTTGGTGTTTTATGACTTTCCGGTGATTAAAATTATATTGTGGTTATCCAATCTTCAGTGGTTTCAGTGGTGCTATATTTGGATACACGGATTATCGTTATATTTGGATACACGGATTCGGTTATAACGTCCTAAGTGCCATATCGTATATCATTCATATTAATCGATTATTATGTTCATGACACAGGTTGGTGCTCAGACTTTGCTCATATGATTGAAAAATAGTGTTAAGGAAACACTAGCTTTACTATGAAATATTGTAATCTATAATTATTCCATACTTGTGCCGTATTGTGTAATAAACTGAAATATTTTTCTATTGATTGCCAAATTGCAGTTTATTATTTGTCGTTTAGTATCTATTCTTTCAAACACTGTGTAATTCGCGTTTTTTTAAATATTGCCGTTATGTATGTCTATTAGATTATCTCAATAAATGAATGTTGGAAATTAGGTTTTGTTCTTTATTAAATTTAAGTATATTCACTATACTTAGATAAGTATATTAAGATAATAAATAGAAACAAAACGTTTCATCGTGTGCTATTTAATGAAGAGCTTATTATAGGATTGCAGAGGAGAGGAATGCATCGGGTGCCTGTAAGAAAACCACTCATTTCTGCCCGACATGCAACAATTCGTTTGCAGTGGCGTCGGAAAAGAAGACACTGGACATATGATGATTGGAAACGGGTAATGTGGTCGGATGAATCATACTACGCCTTATTTTGAACTGATGGAAGACGTCGATTTTGGCGAGAACCCCCATGAAGCTATGAATCCATCTTGCATTCCTCACACTATGCAAGGGTCTGGTGGGAGTATCATGATATGAGGCATGTTCTGCTGGCATAGAAATGGTGCCCTGGCTTTCTTCGAGGTTAAACAAACAGCCATGACATACCTAGATATACTGGTAGATCAAGTGCACCCTGCAATGTTACATTTTTACCCTGATGGCGACGGATACCTCATGGACGATAATGCAATTATACATCATACCAGAAGTGTTCAAAATTGGTTCGATGGACATCAGTTTGACTTCCAACACCTTCTCTGGCACCCGCATAGCCTGCATCTTAACACCATAGAAAATGTGTGGGATATGGTGAAAAGATGCATCCGACAGCTCTCTCCTCTTCCATCTAATTTACAAGATCTAAAACGTTGCATAGCCAATGCATGGACGTAATGCACTCCTGAACGGAGTGCATTCGCATTATTCTGGAGTGCAACGCTGATATTTTGCAGTGCACGCACGTAAATGTACTCCAGAAGCATGTAGACTCGATGCCTAAACGAATCAGAGCAGTTACCCGTGCAAACGGTGGTCCAATAAAATATTGATTTTGCGTTTCTAATTCATTGGCCAGTGTGTGTGTAATCGATGTGTTATTGCGTATTCAGTGTGAAAATGTTTAACATTGTTGTAAAGAATATCTGTTAAATATCTCGTTGGGCCGGTTTCTAATGCGGGCCTACTGTACGTCCAGTAGGTATAGTAGTGGGGCGGAGCAATACTTGTAAAATCACCGACGAAGTTCTGGTGATCCGTCCACTTTTCTCTCCCCCTGTCTATTCTACAAATTACTTTAATTTATGAATTTGTCTTTCTTTTTATCTAATAACCGCAAGTGGCGGAGTTTTCTTAGTGCGCAAAAATTGTTCAATTGTTTAATTCAAGTCTTAAATAAAAAGGTTGTTTAAAACATTCTTAGGTTCCGTTAAAAGTTTACAGAAGGGTCAATAATTCGCTTGCCAGTCCAAGTAGGGTCTAGAAATTAAGTTATATCATTCAGGGTAGAAGACCCTACAAAATCACAAAAATAAAACAAAATCAATACAATAATATTACCCATCAGTTAGTAATGAAGTATATGAATAAATATAGAATTAAATAATTCTGGTTTTCCGCATTATTGAAATATATCATCTTTTTGTAGGGAAGGGTTTTTTTATCTACTTCAATACGATGTTATTAATACTAAAATCTCTCTCAGCATCCACGCTATTAACGAGATTATGAAGGCTTTTAATAA